GCAATATTCCCCCCTCTCCCTCCTTAATTCCACTGTGCAGGGAGATAAACTCAGCATCAGCCACGGAGCTGGGTCAGAGCAGGGTTAACTCCTCATTTCCATATTTATGGCTCTGGAAGCGCTCCCATGCCCACACTGACAGGAATTGCTGTTCATGGAGGTGGGCCCTGAGGATGAACCTGCAGGAAATGTTGATTTTTCTGGCAAGCACAAGCACGTGCCACAAGGCCATGGGTCACACTTCCCAAAATGCCTCCTTGGAGCCCAGGGACAGCAGGATCCTGCCAGGACAGGGACCCTCAGCTCACCCACAGCAGCAGGAAAGGGTGAAGTGCAGCCAGCCTCTGCTGCACAAACACAGGCAGCACGAAATTTGGCCAATAAACGACCTGAAATATGCACGAGACCCGTGCTAAATGCTAAATAAAGAGGAATATTTCACTTTTAAGCAGAGGGTGGCCACGCAGAGCTCCTGGCAGGGGCCTCTGCTGCTCAGAGAGCTTCACCAAACGGGGCTGGTGCAGCTCCTAAACCCTCCTGAGACAGGGAGTGGGATGGGAAAGGAATTGGAATTGTGAGCAGAGGGCAGCAGCTGGCCTGGAAAACCCCACAGCGCTGAGAACTGGCGCTGGGATGAGCCCAGGAGCAAATCTGGGCAATAAACCCCTCTCACAACGGGCTGGGGGCAAAAAGGAGCAGCACCAAAGTTCCAAGGGCACCAGGAATACATCCCCAAGGAGGTGACAGGGGCAGCAGCTCTGCCTGAGGAGCAAGAGGGGCTTTGGGACAAGGAAAAAGGTAAAAGGAAAAAGGTGAAAGGTAAAAGGAGCGTTTCCAGAGTCACGGCAATTCAAGATTTTATATGATTTTTATATATATATATATATAAACATAAATAAAAAGCATTATATATATAAAAATATTTTAATGTCTTTGTATATTTATAATGTCTATTATATACATCATGTTATATATATTATATATTAGATATATAAATATACATAATTATATATTAATATATACTCATGTATAGATAATATATAATATATAATTATGTGTATATATGAAATATATAAAATAATGTATATAAATTATTTATATATTTATTATATATTTTATATATATGAATGCTACGGGTTTAAGGAGGAAAAAGGTAAAATGGAAATTTTCCTGAATTTTGGGTTTGGTTCTTTAGCAGAAGAGGAGAAAAGCAAAGCTCAGATGTCACTGTGCATCCCCAGCTTTTATTCCACTGATGCTCGAGCACAGTGAGGCTGAGATTGGGGTGACTCCTTTTACTATTCAAGTTATTTTATTTTAAATGCAAAGAAGCATGAACTGGATGGCTGTGAATTTGCCAATTTTATCTTCATTTATATACAGAGTCACTGAATTCCACTGGTGATTGAATTAACTGCACTCTGAGGTTCATTTCAGTAATGTTATTGCTGCACTTACACAAGATGCTGCATTTCTATTTTGGTTTGTTTACTTAGCAAAAGCCATCAGGTTTTTTACCCCCTGGTTTATTTTTATTTACTCTCCTGCTAAATGCTTGGAGGTGTAGCCAAACAGAATTTTATCATGCATTCCAATTAGCACACAGTTGCTCCATTTTAAGAATTTTAAAAGATTTGCCTTCAATTCATGAAACTGCTGAAATGATGGCTGTTATCCCAAATTTCTGACCAGCAGAGGTGGAGCCTGGAGCTGCCAGGCTGCTCTTTCCTGGAGCAGCCTCAGGAATTGTGAGGCACAACAGGCAGGGGGGAAAGAGGAGCCACTAAAAGAGCAATTTTCTTATCTCTTCCACACTCACTCCTCCCTCTGGGGGGACATCTGCTGATAACAGGCCATTGAATGTCACTGCAGGGCTGATAAAACATCTGCTGATAACAGCCACTGAATGTCCCTGCATGGCTGATAAGAACTGCAGCATCCCACTGGGAGATGTGAGCCCAGAGGGAGGAGCCAAGCATTCCTACCCGGATATAATCTGGAGATTCTGGAACACCAGCACGGCTTCTGCACTGGATTCCCCAGAGGAACAGCAGCTGCCTCTTCTTCCCCTGGATCTTCAGAGGGACACTGCACCTTTCTGCAGGATCCCTGCTGCAGCAGAGCCACCCCTGACACTGCAGGAGCTCTGCAGCCACAATTCCAATGGGATTCTCCAGGATCCCTGCTGCAGCAGAGCCACCCCTGACACTGCAGGAGCTCTGCAGCCACAATTCCAATGGGATTCTCCAGGATCCCTGCTGCAGCAGAGCCACCCCTGACACTGCAGGAGCTCTGCAGCCACAATTCCAATGGGATTCTCCAGGATCCCTGCTGCAGCAGAGCCACCCCTGACACTGCAGGAGCTCTGCAGCCACAATTCCAATGGGATTCTCCAGGATCCCTGCTGCAGCAGAGCCACCCCTGACACTGCAGGAGCTCTGCAGCCACAATTCCAATGGGATTCTCCAGGATCCCTGCTGCAGCAGAGCCACCCCTGACACTGCAGGAGCTCTGCAGCCACAATTCCAATGGGACTGCTGCCACCACCCTGACCCACAGGGTGTCAGGCTGTGCTCCGACTCTGGCAGTGTTGGTTTAGTTTACTCAATGCAATGAACCTCAGAGTGCAGTTAATTCAATCACCAGTGGAATTCAGAGACTCTGTATATAAATGAAGATAAATTTGGCAGATTCACAGCCATCCAGTTCATGCTTCTTTGCATTTAAAATAAAATAACTTGAATAGTAAAGGAAGTCACCCCAATCTCAGCCTCACTGTGCTCGAGCATCAGTGGAATAAAAGCTGGGGATGCACAGTGACATCTGAGCTTTGCTTTTCTCCTCTTCTGCTAAAGAACCAAACCCAAAATTCAGGAAAATTTACATTTTACCTTTTTCCTCCACAAACCCTTAGCATATCTATATATTATAGATATATTTTTTATATATATACATAATTGTTTATTTTATCTTTTTATTTTCTTCCCAATTAAAGAACTTCTTTGTTATTCCTTAATAACTTATATTACTTCTATATAACATATATATTATATATAACTTATATAACTCATATATATATATATATATATATATATATAAAACTTATATAACCATATATGTTTTTTATATATATATACACACACATAAAACTTATATAACCATATATAACTTATTGTTATTTCCTGCTCCCATGTTTTTGCCCGAGAGCCCCTAAATTTAAAATTTATAGCAATTCAGAGGGAGGGGGTTTACATTCTCCATTTCAGGGGAGGCTCCTGCCTTCCTTAGCAAGCACCTGCCTTTCCAAACCAAAAGAGCAGCCAAATGGAAAAGGATCCTTTCTGTGCCTCGTTTGTGCTCCTGGTGCTTTGCAGGCCCCTCTGAGAGGGGCTGGAGCCCCGTGGTGGTGGCTCATGAGACACCTGAGCACTGCCAGCTCCAGAGATTCCTGGAAATCCTCAGGGAAATCCACAGCACTCAGTGGGGATGGGGGATTTGGAAGCATTTGTCTGGAAAACAGAGCACTCGGTGCGTGCCTTGATTGTGGCATCCCCGGGCAGGCTCTGGGCTGAGTTAGCTCTCTGCTGCAATGGATAATTACAGTGAGCTATAAAAGAGCCCTCAGAGCTCTGGAGACCCTCTGGAGGTAGCAGAAACCTTCCCACAGCATTTTTGTCTTGCCCTTTTGAAACCTTCCCCAAACGACGCGAACAGCCCAAACATCCCCGTTTCTGCACTTTTCAGAGAGCCAGGAAATGTTATCACTGTTATTTCCACATCATTTAGCTTCACATGCAGGACCCCAGGCATGGGAAGTATGTTCATGCAGAAAGCAATTCATTCCTTTGGCAAATGTTTCTTTTCAGGCTCCTTTTCCCTCAAAACAAAGCTGCTGTTATTTAATGAATGCAGTTTTCACTTTACCTCCCGCTGCACGAAAATACATTCATATGAAACGTTCTATAATTACCTTTTTAAATAAATAAATAACTTTTGCTGCAGGAACATACATTCAGATGAAATGCTCTATAATTACCTTTTAAAATAAATAAATAACTTTTCCTACAGGAACTTACATTCAGATGAAATGCTCTATAATTACCTTTTTAAAGAAATAAATAACTTTTCCTGCAGAAACATACATTCAGATGAAACGTTTTAGAATTACCTTTTAGAATAAATAAATAAATAAATAAATAAATAACTTTTCCTTCAGGAAAATGCATTCAGATTATATATTTTATAATTACTTTTTAAAATAAATAACTTTTCCTGCAGGAACATACATTCAGATGAAATGTTCTATAATTACCTTTTAAAATAAATGAATAAATAAATGAATAAATAAATAAATAAATAAATAACTTTTCCTTCAGGAAAATGCATTCAGATTATATCTTTAATACTTATTTTTTTAAAATAAATAAATAACTTTTCCTGCAGGAACACACGTTCAGATGAAATGCTCTATAATTACCTTTTAAAAGAAATAAATAACTTTTCTTGCAAGAACATACATTCAGGTTATGTGTTCTATAATTACCTTTTAAAATAAATAAATAAATAAATAAATAAATAAATAAATAAATAAATAAATAGCTTTTCCTGCGGGAAAATACATTCCGATGAAATAAATAAATAAATACTTTTCCCGCACTTCCGTGAAAATGTAACGCATTAGTAAGCTTGTAGAAGGTGACAGCTGCTATTCAGATAACGCGATTTCAATGAATTTCAGTGCAGATAAACACTGGTGTCAATGCCCAGCTGAGTTTTGTGCTGCTGGGTGCTCATCCTCGCCCTGCTGGGCAGACACAGCGATGCTGCAGCCCAGGATGGGCGATGGAGGGGAGGTTTCTTACCCATCCTGGGCCGATGAAGGGGAGGTTTCTAACGCAGCCAGATGGAGCTGTGCAGCACTCCATCCTCCCCTGCTTGCCCTGCTGGGCAGACACAGCGGTGCTGCAGCCCAGGATGGGTGCTGAGGGGATGTTTCTTACCCAGCCAGATGGAGTTGTGCAGCACGCCATCCTTCCCGAGGCCCCAGGCTGCAGCCCGGTGCCAGAGCAGGGCAGAGAGCAGCAGCAGTGCGAGCATCCCGGGGCTGGCGGTGTCCTCTGTGCCTCTGCCGGCTGCGCTGCGCTGCCCCAGCCTCCCGCAACATCTGCGAGCCAGATCTTAAATACACAGCTCGGCTCTGAGGTCACGGGGCTGCTCCAATTGTGCTGCTGCGCTTCTTACCCAACCTCTGCGGTGGCTGCGGTGACTCACGGCTGGCTCTGCTCCTTCGCAGCCTGGCCAAGAATCCTTCCCGTCCCGTCCCATGCCGTCCCTCAGTGCTGCGGCACACGCAGACACTGCCCAGCCAAGCTCTGCTCCTTCCTCAGCGCTCGCTGCCTTCAAATCCCGCACAATGAAACCAGGAGCCAGCCTGTTCTGCTGGGAGCGCTCCACTCACACATTTACAGCAGCCACGGGATCCCACACACTCCCCCTCGTCCTCATTTCAACATTCTCTCCTTCAGGAGATCCCACACATCCCTCTAATCCCCACTGAAACATTCTCTCCTTCAGGAGATCCCACACATCCCTCAAATCCCCACTGAAACATTCCCTCCTTCAAGGGATCCCACACATCCCTCTAATCCCCATTGAAACACTCTCTCCTTCAAGGGATTCCACACACTCCCCCTAATCCTCATTCCCTCCTTCAGGAGATCCCGCACTCCCCCTCATCCCCAATTAAACATTCCCTCCTTCAAGAGATCTCCCACACTCCCTTGAATCCTCATTTCAACATTCACTCCTTCAAGGGATCCCACACACTCCCTCTGATCCCCATTTTAACTTTTCCTCCTTCAGGAGATCCTACCATACCTCTCATCCTCATTTCAACATTCCCTCCTTCACGAGATCCCACATATCCCCCTCATCCCCATTTCAACATTCTCTCATTCAAGGGATCCCACAAATCCCTCTCATCCTTATTTAATCCCATTTCCTCCTGAAACACCCTTGGAACCCCAAGAATTAGAGCTCCTGGGTTCTGTGAAAATGCATTTTTGTGTTAACTGTAAATAAATCAGTCTAAAGTTTGGGATGTTTCTCCCCTATCACCCTGTGTATAAAAATCAAACCTTTTGGTGCAACTCTACTCCTGGCAGCCTTTTTAAATCCAGCAATGCCCCCCTGCAGCTGCCATCAGGAATGGTTTTGGCTCTCCTTTTATAGAGAATTAGGGTTTATTTTCCTAGAGGACTCATTTTCTCAGTGGGTCTATTTTCACAGTGACCTGATCAATGAAAGGAGGCAGGAGAGAATATTTTCCATGTAATGTTTGAGTTCAGTTTCCCCACACAGGATCTGTAATCGCAAACCCCACTCCCTCACCAGAGCGAAGCTGCCAGTGTCAGAAGCAGCTGCTCTTTGTTCTGCGGTGGGAGCCCAGAGCTCCCCTCCAGAGCAGGGAGCAGGGGCTGATTCACAGGCTGACAGCTGCCTGCCTTCCTCCTGGCTGCCCCTGCCTCCTGCAGCTGCTCCTGCAGCCTGGGAGGGGGACGGGGCTGGAAAACGCTCTGGGCTCCACGCTCACGAGCAGCCCTTGGAAAGCTCTGCCCCTGGAAAACTCTGCCCTGCGGTTGTGGTAACACAGCTCCTGAGTCAGGGGCTGTGCACAGAGCTGTGCTCACCACCCGGCAAACACTCAGCAGGGTGGGATGGATGGAAAGGGAAGGGAAGGGTGGAGGTGTCTGTGCCCACTCAGATGAGTTGTGCCACTGAGCAAGGTTCCTCACCACCCCAGCCCTCGCGTGGTGGATGCTGAACTTCCAGGCCTGGTGCTTTATCTGTGCTTGTTTTCTGCTCTACACAATCCCAGGATCTCTGAGGTTGGAAAAACCCTCCAAGGTCAGAGTCCCAGCTGTGCCCATCCTCACCTTGTCCTGAGTGCCACCTCCAGAATTCCTGGGACACCTCCAGGGATGGGCACTGCAACCCTCCCTGGGCAGCCCCTGCCAAGGCCTGAGCACCCTTGCCAGGAAGAATTTTCCCCCAAGATGCAAAAATGGGACTTTAAGGGCTTCCAGGACTCCTTTTCTGTTGTTGGCCTGGGCACCCTTGCCAGGAAGAATTTTTCCCCCAAGATGCAAAAATGGGGCTCATTTTCAGGCTCCTTTCTGTTGAAGGGTTTGGAGCTGTGGGGGAACACAAAATGTTCCCTGCCAGAAGGGGCTGGGGCAGGGACACCTCTGTTGCTGGGGGTTGGATTGATGGATATTCCCTTCTGGGAAAAGCCTTGGTGTCTAGGATCCCAGAAATGAGGTGGGAAAACAGCTCCAAGGTCCCAAAGTCCCAGCTGTGCCCATCCCCACCTTGATCCCAGCCCAGAGCACTGAGTTCCTCCAGAATTCCTGGGACACCTCCAGGGATGGGCACTGCAAACCTCCCTGACCACCCTTGCCAGGAAGAATTTTCCCCCAAGATGCAAAAATGGGACTTTAAAGACTTCCAGGGCTCCTTTTCTGTTGTTGGTGTGAGGGGTTTGGGGCTGTGGGGGAACACAAAATGCTCCCTGCCAGAAGGGGCAGAGACACCTCTGCTGCTGGGGTTGGATTGATGGACATTCCCTTCTGGGAAAAGCCCTGGGGATTCTCTTTTCCACCAAATCCCCTTGTTTAACGGCCTTATTAATTAATCTCTGCACACATTGAAAGGTATCATGATTAAGACAATGATTATCAAAATTGCCACATACATCCCTAACCTAAAAAGAATTTTTTAGTTAAAAAAACCTTAGCCACTAAAGGCTCAGGCTTGATCTTTATAAACTAAAACCATTCCTGATGGCAGCTGCAGGGGAGGCATTGCTGGATTTAGAAAATCTGCCAGGAGTAGAATTGCACCAAAAGGTTTGATTTTTATACACAGGGTTATAGGGAGAAACATCCCAAGCTTTAGACTGATTTATTTAAAATTAACACAAAAATGCATTTTCACAGAACCCAGGAGCTCTAATTCTTGGGGTCCCAAGGGTGTTTCAGGAAGGTATGGGATCAAATTTGTTTTGGTTTGCTTTCCAAAATTTTTTGTGTAAATATTGGTGTAAAGTTCTGGAGGAGCTCTGCACCTCCAGGGAGCTGCAAAGGAAATTTTCTACCTGCAAACCCCAGCAGAGCCTCTCACCACCAGGAGGACATTCCACAGCTGGACACAGCATCCAGCTGACATTCTTCAGCTCTCTTCCAAGTTTCCCACATTTAAATATATCCCAGACAAATCTTACAGAAACTGCAGTGGGATTTGTTAACTCTTTCCTTAACTTTTTACTTAACTCTTTCCTCATTAAGAAATAGTTGGAAAGCTTTTCTTTGGGTTTCACCAGCACTCAAAGTAAACCCTAAATCATCTTTGGGAATCACCTAAACCACACTAAACCATCCTAAACTACCTTTGGGAATAACCTAAACCAACCTAAACCACCTAAACCACCCTAAACCAACCTAAACCACCCTAAACCACCTTTGGGAATCACCTTGATGATTCCCAAACTGGTGTGACACCCACAGTGATAAAAGAGAGAAAAAAACCACACAGGAGTTTAATGAATGAAGTTTAATTCCTTCATCCACTGAGGAAGAAGGAATTTTTAAAAAATAAGCATATGTGGGTCATGAATCTTTTTACATTAATTTAAATATCGAGCACCTAAACTTTTCTTTCTTCTTCTATTTATATACACAGGGAGAATATTTATAGACAAAGTTTGGCTTTTAGGTTTTGTATTCATATCTTATTGTTGGTGAATATAGAATATATTACAATTACATTGTTTATGGCTTTGAGAATGATCCCAAGAACAATCCCAAAAATGATGGATTTAAATGGAAGGAATGCAGTGAAAAGCCTTTCATTGGGATTTTTTTTTAAGAAACCGTAATCTCATTCAGAAAAAATTACTTGGAGGGAAGTGTGGGGAAAGAGGGAGTGGGAGAAAGCTAAAAAATCAGCTGCTGTGAATTGAATTTACTATTTAAATTTATCTGGGGGGAAACCTGGGAATGGAGGAAGAACTATTGAACCAAAAAAGAGAAAAAAGCCTGACAACACAAACATCCCCATCCCATCCCATCGCATCCCATCACATCCCATCCCATCCCATCCCATTCCATCCCATCCCATCCCATCCCATCCCAGTTAAATTTAAAAGATAATTTCAAACCAGAAGTTGGGATAAATTTTAGAACAGCCAAACAAGAAGAATGCCTGGTTTACTCTGGATATTTGAGGAGGAACTTGGACTTGATGTTCTTTAAACATCGAGGCCACATCCACCTCTTTTATCTTTATCCCATTTTAAACCAATTTGATTTCATTTTAAACTTTTTTCCATAAACTGAGGTTCAAGTCCAAGGGTTGTCCCAGGACCTCCATGGAGAACTTCAGAATCCTCAGATCCCAACCAAATGGCAGAAATAATCATCATTATTGATAATGATGATGATTATTAGTCATTGTCATTATTAATAATGATTCATCATTCAATCATAATAATATCATTATTAATAATGATCATTATTGGTGATCATTATAAATATCAATGGCAGAAATAATAATGAATTATTCCTGCTGGATACTCAAACTTTCCTTCTCCACAACATCTGCTATTAACTCAATCTGTCCTGCTGCAACCTCAGCTTATTTCTTCTTTTTCCCTTTAGCAATTTAACACATTTTTTAGTGCCACTTCCTAGCAGGAAAATTATGTTGCAACTTTAATTGTCTCTTGTTTTAGATCTCCTTAAAAACCACCAGGCTGCTCTTTCCATCCCTCCTGCAGCTCATATTTTCCAGACTCTGGGGTCATTCTCATTCCTGTCCCTGCTCCTTTCCCAGGTGTCCTGCCTCCTTCTGGGTGGGGATTTTAGAAACAATTTTGAATAAGTTAGAGACGGCACTTTTGACTTTTTAGATGATGCAATTTATTTTTTTAATCTTTTATACAGCTAGGAACAGTAAGTTCAGCTCACATTTTTATCACGTAGCTCAGAAAGTCACAAGCCCCTTAGTTACAAGACTTTTGAAAATTCATTGACCAGTAAACCACTGCTAAGAAAGATATTTATGTTTTTGACTTATTGTTTAAATATTTCATCTTAAAGACTCATAAGTTTTCTTAGTTAATCATGTTATAACACACAAACCTACAGTACTGCATTCTAAACTTCTTTTTTACATTTATAACTACTTTTATTTTTTCTATCTCTTAAACTCTAAAACTCTAAACTTTCTCCTTCTTAACTTAACGTGGTTTTGT